AATTAGGGTTTCATGAAACGTGGTGGAGGGGTAAGCCAAAAAAAAAATCAAAAATAAATGGCTTGACATCTTCTGAAGTTGCAGTGAAGATCAAAGCGCACGTTTACGGTACAAATGTGAAGCCGACAGAGTTTGTCCGCATAGGGGTGAATTTCTCCAAAGCCCATATGGTTATTACTTTTAAATGGAAGATGAGACGGCACAAAATTAGCAGAGCTATTGGGTGAACAGAAAATGGCAAGTTCATGTCACGGAGCATTGAATTTTGTGTAATAGGGTTTGTTAATGCACCGTGTAGTGAGGTTCCCACAAGGGCAGATGCTGTCTTTTATGAGGCTGTCATTTCTACTGGGTGTTGATCTTAGGCAACAACAACTTTTTCCGTCACTTGATAATTTGCTGTTTGGATTCAGGCTCGTTTTACTCATTGCATAAATCACAAGCGCATTGCAGGCCACTATGTTGTTTTTTTTTTTTTTAATGTGTGGCTTGTATGGCAATCTGGGATTTTGTGAAAAGTAGTGACAGTATAGTATTATTTTAGTTATCCACTGATAACTATTAGAGTTGTGACCTCTTGTCAATGTCTAGGATATATATGGGAATTTCCTGATACTGCTAGTTTAAACTGAATAAGCTAAGCACAGTGGTGTTTTACATTTTTATGTTTTCAAACTGTGGCAGAAGTACCAGTGGTGGCACTTTGGCTGTCAAAGAAAATATTTTATTATCAGTTTTTGCAAAGTAAATTTGAATAAATTTGTGTTCATATCAAGCTAACAAGTAACAGCAGTGATAAAGATGAGTTGCTCCAGCTCATAAACTTTTATTTAATCAAAAACTCCGAAATGAAATGCAGTGGAGAAAGATACTTTATTCACAAGCTGAAGTGGATGGCAGTAAACGACAACTACTGTTAGCAGTGCAAGATAACAATAATGCTTTTATCTTCATTTTGTTTTATCAGTTACTGGGGAAGTGTGTGAACAAAAGGAGGTTTTAATAAACTGCGTATGAAAGATTTAAAGAGATAAAAAAAAATTGGCAAATGTGCAACAACATGTATACAAACCTTTGCATGCAATGCAATCATGTTGGGACTATTGAGAAAATTCTAAATGATCCAACTTTAAATTGAAACTTTCTGTTTACTTTTTACAGCTTGAATCTGGAAAACGTCAAAATCTGTTAAGACTTGTTAAGAAAATAAATTTAGAATATGCTAGTTTTAAAACTTAACATGTCTTGATTAAAATAGCCTAAATATAGTTTTCAGATTAATAACTTATTCTGCCCTATTGACCTTTATATTACCTGTAGTTACAGCAGATTGTTTGCTAAGATCTTTTTGAAAGTGCTTTTTGTCTGTCTGGGAAACAATCAGGAGAAGTTCCAGCTTTTCACACTCATCTGTGAAAAGCCATAAAACAACAGGAGTCCAGGCCAGTACAGGAGAGTCTCTGCTTCCACTCTGTTTAGACAAAGGGGACAAATGGCTTTTGATCTTGGAAACAAATTGCAGGGAGTTTCTAACTTTAGAGAGGGTCAGAGACAGCTCCTGGTTGGATGAGCAAAGATACACCGTATTTGAATAAATTAAAAGACAAGAATACGCCTTTACTATAAAAATTTGTACACGTGAGGAACAAACTAGATTTGCTCTTGCAATTCTCCAAAGACGTCTTTGCACGTCTTTGTTTTCCTTTCTTTCTTCCTTCTTATTTTCTATTTGTCTCAGGTAAATGAATGTATGTCTCTGTTGTTCTTCAGTTTCTGTTGTAAATTCATACGTTGGATTGGATTAAACTCTGTAATTCTGTGACGTCAACACTCATTGTTGTTTTCTGTGTGGCTACACGCGGTCCGCCGGGAGAACCTGGGATCCGTAAGAAGACTGAGCCAGAGATATTTCCCAAAAATATACTATAACTTAAAATCTTCTTCAACAGACTTTTGTCACTTTTTTTTTTTATTCAGCAATTATAAAAAAAAGTTGCTGTTGTAACACTGTTGTGTGTTTCATGTCAGTTTAGCTGTACAATGAAAGTATTGAATAATAAAAAATTACATCTAACACTTTAATCGGTTGTTTTTGTACAGCATGTGGAAAATCAAAGTTAAAAGTTTCTCTTGAGTGTCTTATGAATGATCATATATGAATGAAAAGTATCAGCATCATGGTGGAAACTATATATTCCCTGGATTCAGTTAATAAAAATGGCAACAACAAATCTTTGCAATCTGAAAACATTTTGCAGGGGACTTTCCCAAAAGAGCAATTTCTTTAATCTACATTCCTGGGTCATAATCCCAGTGTCCATACACAGAGAAATGAAATATGCACATACACCTATCTTTAGATGTTCACTGTGTTGTCTTTCAAGCATAAGATTGGAACTGTGTGTTTTGCAATCTTAAGGGACCGCTACAGAGAGACGGTATTAGAGTTACAGCACCCCGGTCCCCAGTTCTGTGGCAGCACAGCATCCTTCTTCAGGCTGTGGTCCCTTCAGAATGAAGGAGGATTCCCATCCATCTTCTCAGAGTTAGGATCTTGTCAGGTGGAGTGCTTCTTTTTGATCCTCACACCTAACAGTAAGCTTACCTCTCTGGTGATTCTGCCCAGAAACCTAAATACAACAGAACCGCGTGTAACAACCCACAACACAATGGTCTGAAACGCTTTGATTAATTGCACTAATTAATACCAGATGTTTCATAAACTCTTGCTTCTCATCTTTTACAGGAGAATGTGATTTGCTCACACTTGTTACGTCACTAATCAGCAAATGTCACTTTAAAGTTAGACATTATTTGATATACAGGTACATTGGATTGATTCCTCTTAAATAAAATAAAACGCTTCCACGTCTTAATGTTTTTGTGCAGTTCCCTGCTTGACTACTCAGACCTTTTGACACATGAAGTTACAATCAAACATGTCTATAAGTTTTAGTATATTATATTAATTTGTGATATAATTGCTTCAACAAGGGCAAGGGCAGCTGTTCAGAGTCAATGGGAAAATGGATAAAGTTAAATACTGAAGATACATTCAGAGCCTCTATAAAACAGCGCAGATCAAAACATATTAATGTAGTTCAGATGGTCCGATAAAAGCATGGGCCTAGATCTAATTAAGAATTTGCAGAACGATTTAAAATGTGATGTTTGCAGACACAACATCCACTGAACTTGACCAAGCTGGAGCTAATTTGGAGCAGGTCTCTAGATCTGCAACACTGACAGAGAAATGCCCTCCAAAGACTCACAGCTGTAACAGCAGAGTAAGGTGTTTATGCAAAGTGTTGACTCATTGATGCGCAATGCAAATCTAAACCAGACGTTTTAACAGTTTCATCTGGAAAAATAAACTGAGAGTGATGTAACATTTGCCCCCAAATACACAAGTTGTGTTGGTTTGTCACATAAAACCAAAAACCATTCTGTTTGTTGTAGCATAGCAAAATGTGAAAATCTTTCCAATGTGCTGCAAATCCTTTGAGGTTAAAGCAAATGTGTTTTTAACATATTCCCGTCATGTTGTAGGCTATAGAAGATTTATGCATTGTAAAAAGGTTCTTTAAATTGCTATAATGTATTGGACACGGGCAACAATATTTGATGGGTCTGCAGGGCAAATTTGTTCTTCAGTTTCACTTCTGCTCACTTCCAGACTAAGAAACGTGTCAAAGTTACAAATCCAGCCATCACGTTTATGTCTGGACCACTTTTGATTGAATAATCAGCTAGTTATTGTATTTTGATATCAAGATAGCTTTCGTAGGTGCCTGTCAAACAATCATAGGTGGAAAGCCTTTGAAAATTAACCCTGGGGAAGCTCGCTTTGTCTGGATAAACTACACATGTTTGAATTGTCTGTTCACTAACAAAACTTTGAGGAATGAGACAAAACCACTGTTTATAGAACAAACATTCATTTTTTCTCTGGATATCTTCTCAATGAGCTTGTGATTATTTATTATGTCACTAAGTATTGACATTTACTATTCTGTCAAAGTAAAACTTTTGACTGATGTTCATTAATGTAACATGTTTCCTATACTAAAATCTCTTCCCAGCTATAATCCAAGACGTTCATAGGTGCTGTACACACTGACTTTCTGTGAAAAACAACCAAGTTAAGTAATTTGATTGTCATACAAAAGGGCACTAAGTGGCTGGAATATACATAATATCACTCCATAATAATATATGGTAAAAATAATTAGAGACTCTGTAGTTACAGTAATATATTGTCAAGTTGAATGTTGACATTATTATCTTACTGTGTAGGTAAAGACTTTCTATTTTTTAAATAGTTACTTCTTAGTTTTTCCACAGCTGAGTTGACAAATGGATTTTGTTTAGTTTTGTACCACTAATCGAGCATAACGCACTTCTGTGAAACAGAGAAAACATGTTTTGACTTTATAACAGCAAATCTCGCAGATTATAGGCAAAGACATGCAGACTTTAAAGTTTTCTTAGAACATATTTACCTCATTAACATTCCCTGTGGTCTGAAAGTTACAGATTCCTCTGTGTAATAAAGGCAGATGTTTTATTTTATTTTTTTGTTACTCTGCATTTCCACACAAAAAACAACTTCATGTATTTTCAGAGCAGCTGTTGTTGAGTGAGAAGTTCGTCAAGCCAGCTGTCAGATTTCTTCCTCTGTGTTGTTTATGATGTGTACATGTCTTTCTGCGCTGTTCACAAAGTGCTGCGCCACACTCTGTCAGCCCTGCATGAGACAGACTTTGTATGGATTCATTGATTGACAGCATGACTGGAAGCTGCCAGGCTTGAAGCATTGAGTCGGCTCAGTCGATTTGTCCTTGGCTGACAGAGAGAGAAGTGTGATGACACACAGAAAGAGCAAACTATTAATTCACAGAGTCAGTGTTACAGAGAACAGCAATGCAAGGACAGCACTAAAAGCGATCAGAAGGAAAAGAGGCCAAAGGTTTGATGAAAGTGATGATAACGAATATTAACTGAATGAAAAGGATCAACTTTTATTAAATGGTTAAAGCAATGTTTTATTCATATATTGTACAGCAGGTTTCAGTACAGTTACACTGACCCTTTTATGTGACAAGATGGAAATTTTGTGTGTTTGTCAAGACTTGGGGTACTTAAAAGAAACATACAGATGGTACAAAGTAGTTATTTATGACAAAGTGAACAAAAGTTTGAAATAAAAACAGACAAAATGTAACATTTACTCAACAGTGCAGGAAATATAATATGAAATATGTGTTGAACTAATAGCTTATTAACATTTTAATAGCTTCATATTATGACTTCAAATACTCCGCATCTCAATGTTCCCAGAAGAGCTATATTAAAATTAAGGTTTGAATATGGTTTTTGCTAGAAGTCTTACAAACAGAAGACAACAAAATTAAAACCTTTTTACTTTGCTCACTATTATTTATTTATTTAATTATTTTTGTTAAAAAGGGGTGTTTTTAATTACATTTATTTTTTTGCTCTGTACCGACTCTGTGAGTTCAGATGAGGTGTTTGTTTATAATAATTCAATGCTAAAGTTAATATGATCAGTGCTGTGTGTATGATGGAGAAGCTTTAAAGTGCAGTCCAATAACAAAATTTCAGATTTTCATATTTTGATATGGAGCAGTTTCCTAAAGTGCTATGCTAACATTTGGATGTTTAATTTGTTTTTGATAGGACTAGTTGATCATTTGGCTTGTGACATTGAAAACAGCTTAAACAAAAGTTTTGGTTTGAAGTGTGCATCTCAGCAGTACGTTGGTATCTGTTGGAACAGATGCCACTGTTAGCACAATGCTAAACAGCTAAAAACAAATATCACTGAAAAATCCAGATTTGATAAGTTTACAAACTAATGTGCCAATGTTTTCAGTGCTAAAATCAACTGCATGGATTGTGAGGGAACGTGGCAACATAAAATCACAGAAAGTAGACCAACAACAGGCATCAGGAGTTGACTACAGCAACGAGTCCCAGATATCAACAAATACTTTAATCGGGACCTCGACCTCTTCAATGTTTTGAACTGCAAGAAAGACACGCTATCTTGCTAGCTAGATATTTAGCTATCTCTTCAATATAAATTTCTGAATCCACTTTTCTACTTCAAGAATTAAGTTTGTGTTTATATTCCACCATCTTGTCTAGTACTTATTCATATCTTATATATTTTTGACATTGTGTCAATTTTGTCCCTTAACTGTTGACCGAGAGAACCCTGCTCAAAAATGCCCATGAGCCTGCATGATAAGGTTTCTTATCATGCACAAATGGCAAATAAGAAACCTTGAACTTTGAACCTTGAGTTATCTTAGCAAATAGAGTGGAAGCATCATGAAACTAATTTTGAATTTTGAAGGTATGGTGATGATTAAGTGCTCAAAAAAGAGGTCATTTGATTGATGGAGGCTGGAATGTTTATCATACCAATGCTAGTGCTAATGCTAAAGGTAAACAAATTGTTATAGCTTAATTATGTTTGCTAAAATCCTGCCAATCAAACTGAGATTGATGAATATAAATACAAAAGTAAATGCTATGGGGACAGCGCAGCACATTATGTTGACATCTAGATGATAAAATACATATGATAAAGCCAATACCGTTGTAAATTAGTGTTGATAATTCTAAATGTAAATGCTGAGGGGGTGATGATTATCTAATAATTGTGTCGGACTGTAACGATGATAAAGTCGTTACTTGTAATTATTAATGCGAGGACGTTTTGTTCTGAGATTTGTTGATGCAGCCCCATTATTTTGGTAATGATGATAAAGATAAAGGTGATAACAAAGCAGCGGTAGCAACCTTTGTGTGAGTAATAGTTACACATGTTCCATAAATATCCTGTTTACTCTCCCACTGTTTGATCTAACAGGTCTGCGAGGCAGACTCGCACAGACACTCCGAGTGCAGTATTGCAGAAATGACAGTCCTCCCTTTCCTTCCAGCTGTAGAGAACGCACCTTCAGCCATTCATCAGTGTCACCCTGTCGCCGTCGGTTACAGCCCGGGGCCCGTCGCGTCTTCATTACGGTCCAAATAAATCTGAAATAAAACCACAGATGATTTATTAGCTTCCGACGGCGTCGTGCTGGTTAGCATGGTCTGCCGCCACTCTGGCCTAGAGAGACAGTTCCCCGACATAAGCAGCAGAAATGTGATGTGACAGGGAGATGTTGGTTTGATATCAGTTTGTGATCACAAATTTTACCTGATGAGAGGAAGGGGGCACGAGGGAACTGTCACAGGCCAGTGGTGTTTGTCTGACGCATCCCTGCATGACGCGAGGAAGGAACGCGGAGGCTAGAGAGAGCCTTTAGGAAGAAAGCACAGTTGGCTTGTTCTCCCCATCCACTGAAGGGTGAAGTATGTCTTTTTTTTATGTGTGTGTGAGTGAGAGGGCGGAGGGAACTCATAAAGCTGTTAAAAATCAGCCTTTGCATTATATATAGTATATATAATTGTGTGCAATTTTAAAACTAATGCATTCATACAGGATGCCTATCTTTGCTTTACTCCACATTGGCTGCATCCTTCTGAAGCTGCTGAAACAGCTAATAATTTGCAATTAAATTATTAGTTTTCTTTTATTTATCACAGTTATGGACAGTTTTCTCAACTTCGATTCAGAAGCTGCTGAAGCCACAGTTCTTCCTGTGTAGTCAGTCACCTTGATGAAAAGCAAGAAGGTGATTTATTAAATATAATGATTCCTTGGACGTAACAAGCTGTGCATGTGCAGCCACTGACCAATGTGCAAAACACATGTGCATGCCTGTTGAGAGGGATAGCATGAAATATACATCCTCACCTCAAATGTAGTTGCAGTGCATGCAAAACCAGTGTAAAGCATGTAATGATTAAGATAAGAAAAATGTTTCTCTTTTTCAGAATGTTTGCTTTTCTGGTTGGTAAAGAATTTATTTTAATCGCCCAATTAAGCTCGTTTTCACGATCATTTTGTGTCGTCTTTTCTACGTCTCTTACAATAGGTACATTTTAAGAAGCAGAGGAAAATAGCAATGGTACATTGCTAAAAGTAATTTTTAAATAGATTTATTAAACAAAAAAAAGAAACAATGTGTACAATTTTATATATAACTATAAACCATCTGGGTTGAAATATACAATGGCAAAAATTTCATTCATTTTTGGAAAATGATGGTCTGACGGGACAAATTGATGTTCACAGATGCCTTTCATCCAATCAAGGAAGAATGGGCAAAAATGTACAAATGCATGCCACACTTTCTAGATTTACATTCACTCGCATTACACCTTTACTTTTAATTTTCTATATTTTCGTTAACTTAGGACAGATAAAACTATGTTGTTTTCTCATGGTGACCACTAACATCGGCAACTTGATAAACTGACAATAAATTTTAGAGACCAACATTTCTTTCAGTCCTGGTTTTTATACAATCGATTTAACTTATCCAACAAATCTTTTTAGATTCGATTTTCTATTTCTTTAAAAGGTCACTGATTTACAGACAACTGTATAAACTGAAGTCTTGCACTTCATCATTCTCTTTATAAATGACCCACTTTATTTATTTGTGGAAGAAAAAAAAAACTTGAGGATGTCTGTACCTTCTCTCCGTCCACATGTTGTTTCTCTTTCTTAAGAGACACAGTCTGCCCCGACTGTGTGCTGCTGAGATAAAAGGTCAGGATTTAGTCTGATATTTGTTTTGTGGCCAGCCGTGCCTCTAACCCTGGAGCTGGTCCCGGTGTAGCCCGTCGCAGCAGAGCCCAGTCCAGATGACAGAGCTCCAGCTGACTCCAGGCCAGTTCAGCGGGGAGAGGCACAGCTGAGACCTGCAGGTGTCACATTGTCCTGGTTGTCACTAACCCAATTACACCTGGACCGCTGGGGACAAGCTCGCTCCACTATGAGGTACGAAAGCACAGGCACACATTTATGTACAGGCAGTTTTAATACACGCAGATATCAAAGACGTGTTTAAGGGAGAAGATGGGGGTAAACTCAAGTTTTAACTAAAGAAAAAAAAGAAGACAGGAAGTTATTTCTAAGTCTGCTAATTAATCGAACATTAGTAAAACCACATAGAGTGGACGAAAGCAAGAGAAAAGACACATTAAAAGAAAATTCTTATTTTAATTTTATGCTGTAATTCCCATCTTTCCTTTTTTTGTTACTGTTCTCTCGCCTTTATTATGTGTCTGTCTCAGAGTCTTTTTTGCGTTTTTAAACGTGTATGAACAAACGTATCACTGATTAAATATTTGCAGCCATAATTGCAGTAAAGCAACTAAATATGCGGGTGTTTGTGTCCCAGGATAACATGTTTCTGATATTATGGGGACACAGATGTGTCTGCATAGTTGCATAATGGGGAATTGTGTCAAAAGCAAGTTCTCTTGATGTCAATCATTATTTTTTTATGGCAAAACGTCCTTTAATTTTACTGTTAGGCAGGCTCTTTTTCTGTATAAAGATATATTAATGTGTGTAAGTCAGTGTAAAATCCTCTTAAGTCATGGAAACACAACTGTGCGCGAGTGTGTGTTTGTATGTGTGTGCTCTAATGGTGTTTAATGCCCAGACTAATGGTTTCAGCAGGGAATCCTTGTGCCGAGCTTTAGTCCAGGCCCAGGCTGATCGCTGGCAGGACCATTCCTCATCTTGATACCGCATGGAGGTGAGAGCCAGGGGAACACACACACACACACACACACACACACACACACACCAGCAGCCTTTGCCTCTCACCAGCTACTGTGATCTCTGTTTCTTTTCCTTTGTTTCCTATTAGTTCTTGCATTTTATGTCTCTTGCTACCTTATAAGCTGTCTCCCCATTTCTCTTGAGTTACGTTTTTGCTCCTATTGTTTTTATTAGCACCCTTCCAGCTAAAACAAAAATAAAAATTGCTTGCCCATTATGATTTTTTTTTTTACTTAAATAACAATGCTTCAGCACCGAATAGGTATCAGAGCTATCTAAAATGTTTCCCTTAGAAGAGCATTTATTGGACCCTCAGGTTAAGACACACAAGAAATATTTCCTGTCACAACCTATCGAGGTTTTGGGGCTTTATGAAGTGGTGACTGAATCTAACAGATGTCCCCAGACTGCTGGAGCTGAAGGTACGGGGTTGGTGTAGAGCTTTAATTCTTAAAAAAAAAAAAATGCACCAAGTACAATCTGTTTACCAGTGAGTGGGTTAGGAGGTTCTTAGGGTTTTGACCAATTTTATATGTGACACATAAAATCAATTATTATTGCTACTACTGCTGAAATAATCCAACATGTAGATTATTAGTTGTAATAATGTTATTTCTATTTATATATTGTTGATTGTGACGCAGAGAGTCAAGCAGAGATATACTGTAATTAACACCAGCTGAATATATAGCCCAATCTGGTCAGATTTTGCTTCTTATGAATAGCATTAATGTTCTAGGTAAAAATAAACAGGAACTTGGATTCTGGAAAACATACTAAAAATGGAGTTCATGAAGAACAGTTAGAGTCCATTGATAAAATAAATAAAGCAAAGTATCCTACCAAATATTCCATTCAAACAATCCTCTTGCAACTGAGACAATCACTGAGACTGTAATGACAACTAAAAATCACTACAACCTGCAACCTCTATCTGATATTAAGTTGATTCCTAAATATAGAAAAAACAAATTCAACAAGACAATACTAATGTACCGTGTTTTCATGCAGCTAAAGACTGAATTCCACACTCTTGAGCCCAACACACATGCACTATTCATGCTGGGTACTACTAAAATGAAACACAAACACATACTCCATAGATGTGGCAACAATTGATGTTTTATAAAATTAATAATATTGCAAGCTGCATTTTTTTCTAGCATCATGCTGCAGAGTGATGTTTATGTGTAGTGTTTTTGGATGAATCTGTAAGCGCAACCCTTGCTTTGAAGCTGTTTGGATTTGGGCGCCATGAGGCCTTATCGTTGGCTCTTATTGGTGCTCGTTTCTTGGATTCGAGGTAACTTAAGGACCTTTCTGACATTTTGGAGAGAACATAGGAAGCTGGAATTGAATGCAGAGGAGACTTTTGACATAGTAATAAGTGAGTTTGCATAATGTTGATTCTGCAGTCCAATGTTGTGGACTATGTCAAAGAAGACTAGCCTCGTATTAGGGGAAATCATATTTGTGGGTTTCTGCACAGTGGCACATTTGTTAGCAACGTTGCCTTTCCAAAAGAAGTTATTGAGTTAGAATCCCAGATTGGCATCTTTCTACACAGAGTTTGGATATTCCCCCCTTCATCTCTCTAATAACTTGTCTTTAGATGTGAGTGTATCCGTGCATCATTATTTGCACTGTTACCCTGTGATGGAGTAGCGAGTTGTCCAGTGTGTGCTCCACTTTAGGCCAAATGAACGCTGGAGTTGTGACACCGGCCCCGGCAACCCTGCATAGAAAAGCAGGTATAGACAATGGATGGCTGGATTTGTGGGTTGAATCAACTGACTTTTGAAAGAAAAGCTGATTGAAGAGCATCATGATGAAGAGGAAAGTGCAAGGTGGTAGAGGTGGAATATGGATAGCAGAGTGTAAGACAAAAAAGTAGGCGGGGAAGTAAAAGGGTGCATGTGGATGTAACAGAATGCAGGGTTGAAAATGAGAAGAAGGCATGGGGTATTTCTGTATGTGTGGGTGTAAGTGTAAGGAAGCAGGCGGTATATGGGTATATTGGTGCCGGGCAGCGGGGCTGGGGGTGTGTGTCAGTACAGATGCTCTGTGACCGGGTGTCACAGCTCGGGCCAGGAAGCTGAATCCACCGATTAATCACCAGGCCCCTCCGCTTGTAATCAAACGGGCTCTGGCCATGATGTATGAGCCATGTCACAGTTACTGACTAACACACACACACACACGCAGAGACACACACACACACATGCTGCATTCACAGTTCATCACATGCACACGTGCAGTCACAAACGTATGAGGACGAACAGACGCACGCGGCACCCAGAACAACCTCTGGCGGCTCACCGGGATTATGGCTGTCTTCCAAAGGCCACTGGGGCAGACTTCAAAGGCGCAAACATAAACATCGTACAAAACCCAACACATTAAAATCTTAGTCAGCAGCACAGCGCGAGGAAACAGAAAGACCTGGAGAAAAAGAGTGGGAGCTGAGAAAAAAACTAAGGTGAGTCAGAGGGAATTTGGGACTAATGAGGAAGACTGATATACTGAATAATGGGAGTAGAAGAAAGACGGATGAAAAGATCGGAGTCCAGAGAAAGAGGCCTGTAAATGAACGAATCAGGGAAGAGATAATGAGCGAATGAGCTCCATGAGCTCCAGAAGGAAGTGAGGAGCTGAGGCTGGGATGAAGAGGTGAATCCATGGGGATGAGGGTAAAGCTCTTGGTCAGCGGTTTCCACGGCAGCACCGGACAGGGTAGCTGACAGGATGAATAATTTAGGACGAGGTGTGTGGACATCGATCCCGCAATTCACTTTGGCCTGATCACACTGACCCGTGCACAGACTCTCACAGAGGCAGACGCACTTAAATCACCACAGATAAGAGCTGACCTCCATCAAACCTACATAGTAGCAAATGATTGCCATCTTACAGCCATTATTTTGGCTACAACACAGTTAAAACGCCATTATCTCCAGCTTTACTCTGGCGTTAATGTGCACTTCTGGCATGCTTATCAAACAGCACCCTTCTTATTTAGTGGCAACGGTGTATAAAAATAATAAAATCTCTCTATATTTCACTGTAGTGGATGATCTTACGTTGATAAAATTAAAGACATTTTTACGTTTAAAGTCAGTACATTTATTCCATGGGGAGAAATCAATATAATGAAAAGTTTATGCTTTCTTTTTTTTTTTTTTTCAATTTTGAAAATTTCCTAGAAGAAAATTTTGAGTAGAGCCATTTCAAGCTAAATTTCTGATCCATGACACAGAGGCCCAAAACCAAAGAACATGGGTTTTAAGTAAGACTAATGTGCTTTTACCTTTATAAATCAATAAGTGGCTCGAAAAAAAAAAGTGCTCTGTATTTCAAACTCAAGAACCTTTGGGGCTTTTAATGACTTAAATAAGTAAGCAACAAAATATCATACAACACTGGTACTTTTGACTCATTGAGGAATTTAAAAAAAAAAAAGCAAACATATCAGGTTTGGTCCTATTGTTTATAATTTCAACTAGACCCAGGTTAAGAACCACAGATCTAATTCAAAGTGAATTTAAAGCTGTCTTGAGTGTTTTCGTAGTGTATATGTGTATATGTTTTACTGTTTTAATGTTTTGGGACACAAGTGGCCTTTATTCCTTCTACCACCGATCCACACAGCACCATGTAGTTCTACAAAAGCTAAACCTCACATGCAAATTAATTCTATATTACTTCCTGAAGACTTACTTATTATATCCTATGTTCATTAATTGTGGTTCCCTAAATAGACCAGGTGGTGCTAATGGAGTACAACAGATTAAAAATGCATGATCATACCAAAATAACAGTCTTATCAGAGCCACAACTCCACACTATAGAATGGCATGAGCAAGACTGTATAAATGTATCAATTTTTGAAGTAAATAATTATGAATTGACAAAGGATTAGTCAGTTCTTCAAAATTCAACTGAAAACTAAGACGAAGAGACAAAA